CGCGTGCATCGGCCCGCGTATCGCACTAGCCCGGGAGGCCCAGGATTTTTCTTCTTCAAAATAATAGACTCATCTAGTCTAAAATTCGTTCTTTTCAATCCAGACAACCGAGGGCCCCCCATTTTAGTTCTCGCGACAGGCTGTCACCACGCTACGTAAATAGTAGATAAGTCGAAAGGGGTCCCGAAGACCTCGAGTCTAGCTGCTCCCCGTAATATTCAAAATATTTAAGAAAAGGGGTCCCCGCGATGGCGGATACCACCCTTGCACGGGCGAGCTCGTGAGTCCCGGCAGAACGGTGACATTAACAATCTATCCCCAGAAAAGTAACATTAATTTCCTTCTCCCGAGGACACTTCTCCAAAATTCTTCGCTCCGAACTCCTCTTCCTAAAAACGTATTTTTCAACCTCTTCCTCCAATAAGAGATTTTTTCCTAACCCTACTCCTTTCCCTAAAACATAGTTTTAACTCTTTCCTCCAATGGGAGATTTTTTCCAAACCCCACCATCGGGGACTTAAGTCATTTTCATGCCCCACTGCCGGAATTTCGGGACTCAGGCGTCGGGGGTGGAAATAGTATAAAAGCTAGTGTTTAAGCAGCGAGCGTCAGTTGCAAGATCGGAAGTTATAAGATTAGACACATTGATATAGATCCTTTTTTTCCATACTATCACTAGAAGTTACTCTCAAAGACACACTCGAAGACTCTCTTGAAACTCGAAACACTCGAACTTACTCGAAACTCGAATCTCGAATCTCAGATCTCGATCTCAAACTCGAACTTACAATCCGAACTTACGAACTAAGACTCACTCTCGTTTGAACTAATCTCTAAAGCAGATTCTTACGCCTGAAATTTTGTTCGAGGAGCAAACGAAATTCTTCAAGGAAGAAACTAAGGTATTTAGAAATACGCACACACACATACACACTCACGCACACATTTGTATATCCTCACGTTTATCTTTTGTACAATAAACCTAGTGAAAACGAAACTCCATTTCTCTCCTTTCTTTACACCAATAACGATAAAGTTCGCATAGGACTTGCTGAGGGGCCCACAAAATTCCTATCTCCCCTTTTCCTTTCCTTTTCTTTAATTGTGAAGGAGGGCGCGAAGCCTTTGTGCAGCTTCCCTTCCTCTCACGGAATTCCTTCCCTTTTCCTTAATTGTCAAGGAAGGCGCGAAGCCTTTGTATGGCTTCCCTTCCTCTCACGGAATTCAACATCCTTTTATTCCTGTCCCAGACGTAACACTACCTGCTTTCTTTGATTTAAGTGAAACCGTCCCTACTAGTAAGGGGAGTATCAATAAAGCTAGTATTTCTGCGACGGAATCTATAAAACTATATTTTCATTTGAAAAAATTGGATTTATGTACCTAATTATAAAGTAGTCGTTACGTCCACTTAAAAACTTATATACATCATAAATAAAGATAATATTGCGCTATTGAGTTAATACCTTCTTTCATTAGTGCATCATATTTCATGAATAACTCGGTTATTTCTGTATCACTGCCTTGTTTTGCTAAAAAATATTTGTTTAGCAATTTTGCTCTGTTTCTGGGAAAAAAACTAGACATGATTACCAAAAGAAAAATGTATGTTGTTGTATGATATTGCCGATGAAGTGCACTGATTACTGTTGACAGGTGTCAAACTCATACAAAACAAAAGTATGGCGTGTACAACGTAACTTAATATGCTCACTAACGCAATCTATGAGTTTTTACGTAGGCACCGTTTACGAAATAGTCATAACCCGGTAAATCGAAAGATAGCCATGGAATTCCATAAATTAGCACGCGATTTTGACATACGCTTGAGAAAGGAAGTCCTGAGTCGGCCTGACTAAGATCGCGCCACCGACCTAAGTAGACCAGGTCGCGATCAACCGGGCCTAAGTGCATCCTGATGACTCTGCAGCACATCCTACACCCTTGCAATCACCGCGCTCATCTAGATCATGGAACCCCCACCAATTGGAGTCCCAAATTCACCGATAAAAACCAGCAACCACTTTTGGCAAGGAGTTACAAAAAGTCAGGACGCACAGAACGGTTCAGAGCTCAGTCTTGCACCGAGACTCGCGACCCATCATCATTATCGACCGCGAGATTGGAGTCCTTGGTTCTCGGATCGTAGTTCTTAGCGAGTCCAAGACCGAAACTATCGAACACGGAGGATCACTTGCACCCCGAGCTACAGTTGGGCTGCTCGGTACTCCGGCGATCCAAAAGCATCAAGTCAGGAAGGGACGGTGACACTACTACATCCGTTGGACGGGAGGCTTTGAGGAGCCCTCCAACCCTAGGGTGTCACCAAATTTGGCCGCTGATTGAGCCAGGTGCAGGTCCTTTCGCAAGCTCGGGTCACTTTCATTTTTCATCCTAATCTCATCTTTCATCCTAACTAGAAATACGCGAATTCCATGCCTAGCTCTGGATATCCGGATAGATTTAAGTCCTCTTGCATCTCCGTCCAAACATTTCAATATCTTACCTTGCGTTAGAATCACCCGAACCTCGTAAATTCTAAATCCAAGAAACGTCATGTTAGCATATTAAGGGTCCAGTGACCTACACAACGCGGAACGAAACCGAACCGTAAGAATTAGACTCGAGGACCCTGAGGGACTCTCACGACTTGTAGAAGTACCACCTGACAAGAGACAAATACAATCATCCTCGTCAACATATTGATAACTTCCATTTTCTGAGCCCTCCTTAGCTCCTCATTCCTATAAATCCCACCAGAGGATTTGGTCTAGTCGCTCGGACCAGCTCCTCACAACAATATCCATACCGTTACGTAGTCGTACGAGATAAGACCTCTGTAGGCGAAACCTGAATATTTCCCCCGGCCTCGCGTCCCCGCGGCCGCCGCGTAACAGAGCAAACAGCGAATTTAAGCTTATACACCTTGTTGACGCCAGGCTTCGTTGCCGCTAGATTACGGCGCTTAGGCGCCCCCTTAGCGGCACGGCGTCGTTTATTTCATATTTTTCACCCTCGTCGGTGATTGGTCGGCTACCCGGTCTCGATCCTCTTGCAGGTCTTTACGGGATAACCACGTTCTTGTCTTGGTCGCTCAGGCTCGTTAAGGCCATCAGCCCGGAACGGACACGCCGTCGGGCATTACCGGCGCCACAGCCCGATGCCCGTCTCACTTAGGAGACACCTCCAACCGCGAACCGCGCACCCCGATCGGTCCACCCCGCGTCGACCCCGCCCAGCCAAGGGGACTTCCAAACCGATCCATTACGGCCCAGCCACCGGACCCGGACACGGCTACGCGACCCCATGGAGCACAGCCCCAAATGGGGTGCGCCACACACCCGGGCCACCGGCAGCGCCGATCCCGAGGCACCAAGGCCCCATGACAGGCCGGCCTCCCCCGAGCGGGCCCCGGAAGCCGACCGGGGAAGAAACCCGGGAGAACCACGGCCCGGTCCCACCAACCGCTGCGGCCCGCCGAAGTCGTCTTCCTCCCGAACCCTCGGTGCCCAAGCGGCGGTCCCCCCGGGCCCGCCCCGCACGATTACTTGAGCTTCCATCTTTTCTCGTGGTGTCTCCTCAGCGGCCCTCCTAGGACAGCCGCTTCGATCTTCGTTTTTCTTACTCCGAAGCTACGTGCACTGCACTCGTACTTTACACATTTTCCGCCGTCTTCTTTCTTCGTCGACAGCACGCACTTCACACTTTCTTCACATTTTATCGTTCCGCGCTGCCCGAACGATCACTTACGACTCTCTCTTTGCCTCGCAATCGACCTAAGTCCACCAGTCATCTCCTTTCATCGCCACACATCCCCTCCTGCCGGAAATCCCGGCCAACCCCTCAGACAAACGAATGCTCTACCTGAGGTGCGGGTTCTTGCGTAATTCCCGCGGCTGGTGGCCCCCCAAGCGACCCAGCAATTATCAGATGATGTCCATCGCGTCGGCAACACACCTGGTATTTCTGATGTTGGATTGTAAATTTATAACGTGTTCCAATTTGCGGAATCATCTAAAGCGTTGAACACTTCTTCGTCGATACGTTGTCTGTAATTGTGTTACTAATTAATCAACAATGAAGGAAGAAATCGAATAAATTCAGTAAAGGTTAACCGTGACGTCAGTCGATAATCTTCCACCAAATAAAAAATACCAAACATGCACGACTCGGGAACTCGCTACGGATGTAATACATTAAAAACGACAAATATTTGTTTTATATAAAGCTTACCTTGGAACGATAGCTGTAGATTTTCCAACCTCCACTCTTGAAGTTTATTTTTTACAAAATCATCCATGACACTGAACTGAAACTCGCTCCCCTGAAGTAAAACTCGTCCCTTCGCCCCCTCGCTACGCTGAAGTAAAACTCGATCTTAAATCCGATCGAAAACCGAGTCTCGAAAACGACCGAATGATGCGTCTGCCGAACTCACAATGAATCCAACGGTTTGCTGGACTGCGCAACTAATGCATGTCATGACTCGAATGCTTCTTGCGCCGCGTCTTAGACGCGCAATAGGAACAATTAACAGTTCACGCTTGTAAAAGATATTGGTACTACGGTATATTTTACTGTTTTTTTATAGAGTTCTAGCTTTTAAATTTTACAACTGTGACGGTCATTTTTTACACGTGCCGTTACACGTGTAATTTTTACTCTCAAATGTTGTATATGTCACACTGACAGATGCAGATATAACTACAATTTATTTACAAGAATCCTGTAGTTGCTGCTGCAATTGCAATGGTCAAAAGGACAAAAAATTATAATTACATCTACAATAATTGTTGTTAAGGTTACAACAATACTTTTACACGAGAGCATATGTAATGATTACAATATTGTTTTTCTGCGTGTGCGAAATTTGGTCATCGCCGATTGATATAAATCACTTTTTACACCACCTTAAAATTACAATGAATTAGCAATAATAGTTCATTTAATTTTTGGATATTTTAACTGTATGTAATGTTTCTGAATCATATTATGTTTAGGTAAAATGCAACCAACAATGGCTTTCATGACAGGCAAGTTAAAGATCAACGGGAGTGTCGAGAAAGCAATGAAGCTGGAAAAGTTGATGACCAGCCTCAAATCAAAGCTTTAAGGGAGTCGAAACAATCTGTTGCATTCATGTTATGAATGCATTTCATGAAATACGATGATAAGAAAGAAAGTCAATCCTGGATAACCCTTGTAAAAAGGAAAAGGTCTTCGTCGCAGCTTTCAAGGGAAATGGAATGGAAACAATAATTTCACGTACTAACTACCTATTGGTAACAATGCGTTAAGTTTAAGAATATACTTTTCTTATGTTTATAATTTTCCATAGGAATCATTAATATTAAGTCGGTCCATATGTTCATGCGTTTTTTTTTTAAGTAATTTGTTTTGACGGATTTTTTACGTGTTATATATATATATTTTTTTTTGTTAAGCCCTATCTTTCCTCTACGAATTACATTAATTTCTTCTGAAAGAGAATTTAACTTTAACTCAATTTAGCTCTGTACAAATATGCATCTTTGACATGATCTTCTCGATGAGATGTTGTCTTCTTTTCATGGCTCAGCCATTCCTTTCTCTGCTTCATATTAAAGTATACACATAATTTTTCATCGCCGACGACGATGCGGTAAAGAAATCTCTGCGTGTGCCCATCAGTAGCCTTGTTTCGAACGAGCAAATTGGCAGCGACAATGAAGCGTTGAATTCGATTGTTTTCGGTCAAAACGTGTGGCACCCAAACACGGGCCAACAGGTCGGTTGGAACATGGAGTGCTGCGAGATCAAACTGTTAGTCTTTGAATCTCAAAAATCACTTCTGAGCGGTTCTTTCTGCTATAGCATCCTCTCCGTACACGGGAAAATGTCTTGAGCAGCTTTAGCCGCTTTAAACCGCTAATTGAAGGCGAAGAGAAAGGGATGTAGAAAATGATTATTTTTTTTTACTTGGCATTCTATTGTTATATAGGGTGCAACAGAAATGATAGAAACGGTTTATACAGCGCTATCTTGTAACCTTGTTAAAAAGAAAAGGAGTCGAAAAATCTTGTACAATTTTCTCTACAGTGCATAACTTTCATGTAATAACTAATTGAAGCATAGTCAATCAATCGTGTTCCTCAATGGAACGAATTCGGCTGTTTGCGGCGTAACAGTCTTACCGGCGTTCTCTCCGCTATGCATTCCGTCGGGGAACGCGATTGATTGGCCGTGTTTCAATTAGTTATTACGGAAAAGTTATGTATTGTAGAGAAAAATAGTAAGAACTTTTAGACTCCTTTTTTACCAAGGATAGCGCTGTCAAAACTGTGTCCACCATTTCTGTTACATCCTGTCTAGCTGATTAAATTTTTGTATTTTGATATCTTGATTATTTGAGATTTTGATACCGAGTTAATGATTAGATAGTTAATCCTTAAAGTAAAGATAGTTTTTAAAAAATATATGTAACGTTGCCTCAAACAGATAATCCGTCAAAATAAGACTTTCAAAAAATCGTATAAAGTCATATACCAACCTAATATATAATTCGTGCCTATATTAAGGAAGGATCCCAGTGAGTAATTATCCAGTTCTGTATTCGACTTCTAAGATTGAATTATTTAAAATGGTATAATTAAGTTATTAATGATTTAAGTAACAGGTTCAGTCTGCGAAGAAATGTACATATAAATAAAACGGTCATTGCCAAAAACGATATATTTAAAGAATAATCATTTCAAATCAATAACTTCCTCAAATTAAGAAATAGATATACCACCACGAAATAGAATATTTTGCAGTATCAATTACCATTGACGTATGTAAATTTCGGTCTTTAACATTATAAACTGTGTTCTATGCTCATTAATATGTAAAAAACAATATATACTTTTGTACAATTAATATCATTATGTTTAAAATCTATCACCATTAACCTTTCGCACTCGAGAGGTAACTATCAGTCACCACTTGGTCCGTTGCGGCAACTCGAGAGGTGACTCTTGGTCACCATTTGGTTTGATGCAGAAACCCGATCGGCAGTAAGGTGTGTGTGTGGGGGGGGGGGGTGTGCGCGCGCGTATAATTTGACAATGTTTAGAGCGATACCCCTTGTCAATTAACTGGGACGATTCTACCAAATAGGCAGGAGTTGCCATGTCTAATAAAAAAAAATCTACAAGAAATCCACGGTAGCATACCGCAAAGGTAATACTTTAGTTCTAGCATGGAAAGACAAAACGATCCGTAGATCTTTGACCACTTGAAATAATACGGGAATAACTCCTGTAATAAGGATTTTACGAGGTGGTGTTGAAGTTACTGTAAAAAAAAAACCAATGTTATCATAAACTATATAAAATATATGGGCGGCACTAATCGAGCGGACTAATATGCCTCCACATACGGTTTTCTAAGAAAGTACTTGAAATGGTGGCTTGAGCTATTTTTGAAGAGGTTTAGAGATTTGTTCGGTTAATTCTTATATTCTTTACAAATCAATAAAAAAAGTACAGAAACGAACAGTCGCTTAGTCGTCTGCAATATGGAAAAAGCTTTGGTTGACCAATTAAGAGAAGATTTCCGCCAGACTCGTGCTCGAGCTTCTACTTCAACCTCCAGTTTCGACAAAATTCGATCGAATGGAAAGCTATATGTCATTCTAACAGGAGTAAGTAGGATTGCAAGGTTTGCTCTCAATGAAATAAACCTGTCGAAAGACATCACACAACATATTACTGAAATAATTGCCCCGACAAGCCGAGGATGCATCTTGGCGATTGTCATAAAATACCATACAAAGCAACAATACGGTCCTTAATATTGAACAAATTTTCTTCTTTCATATGTAAGGGTACATAAAATATTAATACATAATTGTTGTATTCGTTAATTAATAAGTTAAATAATTTTAAGTAAGCTGTATGAAATTCACCAAGTATACGGAAAATCGTTTCGAGTTACTGGTTCGTCCGGGGGGAAAAATGCTTCGAGTGCATAGGGTTAATAATAGGTTGCATTAACAATTACTCGCTATCCGCTTTGATGATGGTTTAGGGATCCAACAGCAGATGAGTTTCTTTGTCTCTTCGTATACACCAAAGAACACGAAACCACCCACTGTAATCCAAGTCACACGTGGCCCGAAACCAGCGAAAAATCTGAAACATTTATCCGATTAATTCTAACTTGATGTATACATATTACAATGATGATGAAAAAATAAAGGTAATATCATAATACCAGATCATCCAAATATAAGCAGTAAGTGAACAGGCAAAATTAAGGAATATTTTGCTTTACCGAACTTCCTAAAAATATATAGAGTGGGTAAAAATTCTTGTACATCTTTTAACTGTTTAAGATCAAATTTTGTACGAAAACTTTTTCTTCTCTCTCTGTATCTAATGTTTAAGATCATTGATAATCATGTATCGACGGTAGTACAGTTGTCTACAGAAGTGAAGGTGAGGTGGAACCCGTTAAGAAATTCAATCGATATCGATAAAAAGATCCTTCGAACTACCTGCGTTACCGACATTCATATTTATATTTATAGTTGTGGTGTAATACATTAAGTATTGTGTGGAACGGCGTACTCCTGATGTCGTTTTCATACAGTAGTTATCATTTATTTATCTGGAGGTGGATCCTACCCCAACAGCGCCTGTCGCATACAGGCGACTTATCTGCGTGCTTGGTACCCCTACGCATCTGAATATTATCTGACCACCGGTCTCCCTCCCTCCGGACCGTCTCCCTCAGGACAACGGACCCGGAAAAAATCCAGTTCCCTCGGCCGCTCGGCAAACCGTGAAACGCATTTAGTCGGCCAGGGCTGCCGACGCATCGCACGGTAGAAAGAACCTTTTCTTGTATTGTTCTGGTCTATAAATTAACCAAGTTTCATTTGGATAGAGCAATTACTGCTCGCGTAAGGGGTAAAAGAAGTATTGAATAGGGTGGCTCACCCCTTAAAAATGAATTTTTTCGACAAATTCCAAATGTATGTTTCATAATTCTTCATTCCCTACAATTTGACGGCTGTTTCATGAAAATCGGTCGAGTACTTCTATATGAAACAGCCAACCCACCCCCTTGCACGGCCAACTTTGAAGCCTGATTTTACCCCCTAAAAGTGTTTATCCGCCGATAAAAAAAAAGCACGGATCCCTTAGATTTTAGTCCTCGGTAACATACTTAAAAATGAACAAAATCGGAGGGGGACACCTCAGGTACCTTCCTTGTTAGTAATTCATGTAACTGGCTTAATCTTTGAGGTAACGAAGTAAACACCAGGTCGTCTTTCAGCACATTGCGTGATAATCATTAATTTCTGGTCTTCTTGAGGGGTTCCTCTACGCTGCCTAGTACGCTCCGCCTTGGAGGCTCACGGTTGGCCCGGGGTGCCCTCTTCGACCAGTGCACCTCTGGTTGGGCCTTCTATAGAAGGCACGTTTCGCGTCTTGTTATTTTCATACAATAATTATAAAGAAATAGAAGAAAAATTGGAAAATGCTACCCTGTTCGATTTACAGTGTTCGATGTCTACTACCTTCATCTTAAAATTTGTGCAGAAGTTCATAAGGCATTTCTTCTGCCTCACTGCGTGCAAATGCGTGTTTCTCAATTACTAAAGTGGTATGAACTATTGCACAACTTTCCTGATACTTTTGTATTTTGTGTTTTGTTTCCCACGTCAGAGCCTTTAAGAATTGTGTATTCATTCAAACATGAAAGCATAACGCTATTTTAATTCTGTTCTAAACTAAGCAAACCATTTTTTCTTAATTAAAATTTTGAAAGCGTGAGGATATTATTTAGGCACTCATGAGTGACGTGCTAAAATTTCATCTAATTTGGTGGAATACCCTTCAAAAAAAGTGTCTTTCGAATTAACTGGTTTCAGACGAATTTACCTCATCGTAATATTGCAAGTTTAACCCTTTGCGGTCGTATGTCTACTCTCAGCCACCAAAATTATCTTGATCTTGGGAAAATGCGACCGCAAAGGGTTAAGTGATATAAAACTGGCCTCTGAAGCGTCAAAAAGTTTATACAATCTTTCTGCAAACTGGATGTACGGAAACATTTGAAACTTTAGCTCGTGATCGGAAAGAGCTTAAGGAAGAACGCGATTTTCATGAAAGTTCATTTTACAAAAGGAAATTTCTTAAGAACACGTATTTTTTATATTTCACACTTTTTCAACGCTTGGAATAGAAAACAAAGACATTCACGTTCTAGGTATAACAATTTAGAACAGTATGGCAACTGAACATTACAAATTCGCAGAAATACTGGGAAGAGTTTTCTAAATTTGTGTAATGTAAAATGTGAAATTCTCAGATATCCGGTAAACAGCATGTGCTCTGAAAGTGCTATTAGAGTAAAAATGTTGGTGCCGCTAAATATGGCTATGTATCTATCTCTTTTATAATCATTCTACTAAAATGACATGGAATTAACAAGGAATTGGAACGTTTCGTATAATTTTCAATGTAGAATGTAACAGACGTCAACATAAATATAACTGTCGGTAACGTGGTGCACCAGCTTATGTAACTACTCGAGTATCTAAAATGACGTTACCGTCGAAAATGGAATGAATTTTATAGGGTTTGTTCGAAAAGTAATGTCAATGAGTCGACGTAAAAAAATGTATAGATCAGATCGGTACAACACATTAAAATATTTCAAAATAAGCTCCTCCTGCGTCGATACATCGCTTCCAGCGAAATTTCCAGGCATCGAAGGCGGCACGGTAGGCCTCCTCCAGAATGTCCTTTAGAGCCTTGGTGTAAGCCGCTTTGACGTTGTCAACTGCCCCGAAATGACGTTTTCTCATGGGAATTTGCAAGCGCGGAAACAAAAAAAAAGTCTGGGGGAGCCACGTCAGGACTGTAGGGCGGCTGGGGAACTGTTGACACCTTTGAATCGGCCAGGAAGTGAGTCATGAGGATGGCGATATGGGCTGGCGCGTTGTCACGGTAAAGTTTCCAATCGTCCGCCATGTCGGGCCGGACGCGATGAACCCTTCGTTTGAGCCTCTTGAACATTTCCACGTAGAATTTGGCATTGACGGTTGTACCATCTGGTACAAACTCATGGTGGACGAGTCCCCTAATGTGGAAGAACACAATGAGCATGGCCTTGACTTTTGACTTGCCCATTCTGGCCTTCTTGGGGCGTGAGGACGCCGAGGTGTGCCACTCGGCACTCTGCCTTTTTCTTTCGGGGTCGTATTCAAACACTCAAGACTGGTCACCTATGATGACACTGTCTAAAAGGTGGGGCTCACTTTCACACAAGTTTCAAAGTTCCTGGCACGTTTCAACTCGGCGTGATTTTTGGTCGTCTGTTAACACTTTGGGCACCAGCTTCGCGCACACTTTTCGCGTCTGCAAATTGTTTGTCACAATCTCGTGAACGGTACTTTTTGGAATGTTTAATGTCTGTGCCACTAAACTAACGCTCAAACGATGGTCTGAGTTTAAAAGTTCTCTCACATGCGTCACATTTTCGTCGGTTGCAGTCGTTGATAGCCGTCCAGCGCGGGCTTCATCGCTGGTCTCTTTACGGCCTTCTAAAAAGGCCTTGTGTCACCGGTAGACTTGACGTTTCGACAAACAATTATCACCAAAGGCCGTCTTTATCATAGGAAAAGTTTCCTGCAGACTTACCGAATTTCACACAAAACTTGAATGCAATCCTTTGTTCCAACGAACGCTGCATTACGACCTGCACGGGAGACGAAAACGCGTTTCACGGAGAACCCTGTCCTTACTTTTCAGATGGTCGGAGACGACTGAGCGACCGGGCGTTCGAAAGCTGACTTCCCGCTCCATTGATACCAACAGGTCCGAGCGCGCTGCGACGTATAGTCGCTTCACAATTAAATCACTGACATTAGTTTTCGGACAAACCCTGTCATTTATTAATGTCGATTAAAATTTGGAAAACTTTTCATATCGTCTTAATTTACATACCCTTTTATTCCTTTGTCTTTATATATACTTTTCAAGATGTTGAATATCGAAAGATCTTGAGGGTTGCATACTCTACTAGCTAACATAATATGCGTCTTCGCAACATCTAAAGGTGTTGTAGCAGCAGCAGATATTCCTCCTGCAATAAATAATTAATCACTTAAACACGATTGTAGTTGAATGCCTATTACCAACAATCCGCTTAAAAAAACATAGCTGTAGTTACGAAAAAAACTTATATCAATCAATAATAGTAGACGAAACCGTTTACAGTTCTTAGGACTATTTGCGTTGTTGCAGTAACGAATAATGTACAAGGGAGATTCCCCAATCCGAAAATTCAACCAATTTTGAAACTCGAGGGATATTAAAAATGTGTTTGGGTGAGTGATATATATATATATTATAATAATTTTTTCAACGAAAAATCATTTTGAAGGGGTGAAATAACCCCCTATGATTATTCGATTCGCAGTTTTCATTTCATTTCTCGCAAACGATGAGACCTACGACAAAATCTTTTGAATCAAAAATATTTCTCTTAATAAGATTCGTCAGCGGGTGAAATAAAAATGTAAACAATTGCACAGAATGACTGCAAAAATGGATAGGCAAATTTGATTAATTTGTTTTCTTTTTGTGTAATAATAATACATGTTGAAAATAGGACAACGTTCAGTTGATAACACTTTTTTATTTACGAAATTGCCACTAAATGTGACAAATTCCCCCTTAAAAGCAAACAAGGTTTAGAATTTCTTATGGTTTTGGTAAACCGCTTGTAGCACGAGCTAATTTCTTATTATTCTAGGAAATAGCCGAAATTACTGTGAATAATGTCCTTTACTTAACAAAGACATTAATCTCGTAAAACAATTGTCAACTGTTGGACTGTCTTTGACATCGCATATTCTGAGTAGAAGCGGGCAGTAAATTGTAACGTGTAACAATTCGTTTAACCATATATTTCGTATATGTAAAAAACAATGAAGTATACACGCTTTACGTATGGCACTATAAATAGGTAACAGGTATATGCTGAGTCAATTACTCTATGTATTATGACGAGAATTGGCCCTCCAACGCACACCCGACAAATTAGGGCTCTGAGAATTCGCCAAAATTCCGAATCCTGGCAGAGGCAGTGCGATTCTTTCAAGCGTCAGATATGCCTTGGAATATCGCGAATTCGCTAAGTATTCTGGGAAGGAAGAATCAGACTCGGCCCCGGAAAAACCATCAGAAACGCCAGCTTCCTGTTATTCAGCCCCGCAATGGTCCACGCGGCCACTTGTGGCACGGTAGAGATGGGGGCCCGACAATGCACGGAGCGATGGAAGAATTCAAATTGGGACAAACGGGAAATAAATAAATACAGCCACGATTTCGGTAATTAAGACAACTGGGAATTCTTTACTTCGCGACTCCACCAGCGCGATTTGAGGGTTTTACTTCGCTAATGAAGTCGCTACTCCCGAGACGATATGCCGACACTCTGATCACGCAAATTGGCACAATACTACCCTAACGCTGAATGCTAACGCGGATGGCAGAATTCGTGGAATCGAATGGCGGACGGTAAAATTCCGATCAGGATGGGGTCATCCGCGGCGGGTGGGGGGGAGGAAACGTTGCGTCAACGTTTCTTAGGGGGTGGTGCGGGATCCGACGAGCGGGGACTCGCAAGCAAGGCGGTTGAGAGTAAAGGGGACTCACACGCATAGGCCAGCAGTGCGCATGTGTGTGTACCCGTGTACGCATACTAATCTGTCCAGAACCGGCTACTTCAAACTACTCCAACACACGCACTCATGCACATGCGCTCAATTTGATGTTTCTTACAAATCTTCCATAACTTTTATCCAATAAACTAAGTAAATGGTACCCCAGTTTCTTTGTTTCGTAATATACACCCCCACCAATATCGACAAGTCCGAATAGGACTCGCTGAGAGGCCCACAAAATTCCCATTTCCACAATTCCTTTCGACTTCACCGAGGGCGCGGGGGCTAGGTCTCGCCTCCCCCTTTCCACATACGAATATCCTATCACAAAATATCCCTTCCACTCCGTACCCGAGACGTAACAGTTAACTTTTAATTTATTTATTTAGTTAGATGAAAATGGGAAACTGAATTTATTTATTTTAAATCATTTTTAGTTTTCTTCTGACACCGTTTTTAACATTAACACTTTCAGCTTGGTGTACTAGTAATACAAAGAAAGAGTTGAGTTATCAGTACACCAAACTGAAAGTGTTAATGTTAAAATTGGTATCGAAAGAAAGTTGAAACTGGTGTCGAATGAAACTACAAATCATTCAATACAGATGGAAGGAAAGTGTCGAGTTACTAATACATCAAGTTGAAAGTTTTAATGGCAAAACGGGTATCGAAAGAAAATTGAATTATTATATGTAAAAGTAAAAGAGGAGTCGAGGGAGGATCTAATCTAATATCAAATGAAGTAAGGTATTAGTTTGGATGGATCGATAACAGAAATCAACAAATTATGACCTCGCCAATTTTGGATTTTGATTAGAATGACCGGTTGCAGCGAGGAAGACGCGGTCCTGTTGTGTAATAAGTAGCGTTATTTAGACGGGAATCTGCAACCCCGAGTATTGTGTATCGGGTTAAGATTTTGTGATATAGATTTCGAGTAGTTTAGTGCAGCCAGGTGGTGGTTGACGCCTATTTCGCGAGTGTTAGATCAGGGCTTCGAGAACTGTGATGGAAACCACGTCGCAATATATTGTAACTTTTCTCGCGTACCTGTCCCTCCCCCTTGTTCGGTCGCGTCGTATCGCGCAATCGGGCGGTCGCGAGGAAGTTAATTACATTGCCTCTTGGCAACTTCCTGGATTTCCTTTTGGCAGTCTCAGATTGGCTAGGGCTTTCAACGGCGCAGAGCCTCAGCCTCTAAGCACTTTTCATCAGTGAAAGCCGTATGGTAGGGAATCCAGGAATTTTATGTGTTTCATCCGAGGAAGGTTCGGTCGTGGACTCGAAATTATAAGGGTTTCCGTGTGTCTTTCTGTCGCGTCAAGTATAGTGTTCAATTAAATTTCCGTGATTTTGAAAATTGCAAAACTCTAATCGAGATTATGNAGAGATATTAACATTTTTTTTTTTACGAAAAGGAGTGCAATTCCCTCTAAACACACATTCGGTGTACAAAAACTTAACCAAATACGTTCATTATTAACAATTAATTGTAATAAAAGCTCAAATTGCTTCCTTCCCATGAAAAGCTCAAATCAACTACTTTTGCCAAATATAGTAGAACATTCATTTCATTAAAATTTCACATGAAATCTTTTTGCCAAAGGTCAGGACATTTGGTTTTACGTATTGCATGTCCATGATTATACTATATTTGGCAAAAATAGTTGATTTGAGCTTTTTGTTGAGATATTCGAATCCTCCGCCACACGTCTAGGGCAAGATGCTTCATAATTCCCTAAGTACGAATGAACGAAAACATAATCGAAATAAGCAAAACGCCCAGAATAACGTGGACAAACCCATGAGCACTGAATTTCGCATTGATCCTGAACCGGAAGAGAATGGTGAGGAAGTGCCCAAAGATAACCCACACCGTAAACTTGAAGAAGTTAATAGCCCACACGAGAAGGAAGCTACAAGAAGAGGGCCAGGAAGGCCAAGAAAAAACTATACCGGACGACCTGGCCGTCCCAGGAAGCAATATTTGACGGGGGAAAACCGAAATGATGTGCGAAATTTGAACGAGGAAAATGTTAATCCAGTTACTGACCCAGAAGATTAATCTGAAGATCTGGAACAGGAAGATTTCGCAAATTTACCTGAAATTACATGGAAACAAGCTCTAAATGGATCAGACGCGGAAGAATGGAAAAATGCAATCGTGGAAGAAATCGACAGCCTAATACGGCACGATACATGGTATATTACTGATCGTTCTAAAGATCGAAACGTGGTCGGATGCCGGACAGTTTTGAGAAACGCCCAAGGAGCAATTGAGAGACGAAAAGCAAGAGTTGTTGCCAAGGGATTTACACAGAAACCAGGAATCGATTACCACGACACATTCGCACCAGTCGCACGTCTGAGTTCGGTACGCATGTTGCTTGCCCTGGCAGTAAAATTTTATTTGAAAGATTATCAAATGGACATTACGACTGTATATTTAAACGGAACCATCGAGGAAGAGATCTAAATGGAATTACCTGAATCATTCACGGAATCGTTGAACACAATCGTTAGTCGAAGAGGGGATCGTGACCTGATTGGGAACCGAACAAGGGAAATGCTCAGGAGATTTAAAGAAGGCGATAAGGTTTGTCGTTTACAAAGGGCTCTTTATGATTTGAAACAAGCTGGGAATCGCTGGGATGAAAGGTTTGATCAGAAGCTACGAAGCATGGGATTGAAGCCGACCGTCGCAGATCCTTGCGTTTATTTTACTGTGCGAGAGGGAGATATTTTACTCGTGCTCATCTACGTAGGTGATATATTAATAGCTTACCGTAATGAAAAAGATTTGAATTCCATACGGGAACAACTGTTACAGGATTTTGAGGTCAAAGACCTAGGAGAAATTAGTTATTGTCTCGGAATAGAAGTATCCAGAGAGACGGATAGAATCACAATGTCTCAGTCCGGATACGTTCGCGATCTCCTACGTAGATTTGGAATGGAGGAGTCAAAACCCATCCCCACTCCAATTGCACAAGGTGAAAAATTAATATAATCTGAGGAAGGACCCAACGAAGAGTCTCAAGAAAAACCATATCGGGAATTAATTGGAGGATTGAACTATTTGGCCGTTGCAACGAGACCTGATATATCTTATATTGTCAGCAATCCGTTTTGCAGCCAGTTTTGCTCCTGCCATGAAATGCAGCACTGGAAGGCCGCTAAAAGAGTCCTTCGACACCTTAAGGAAATCATGGATTTCGGTATCGTGTATAAAAAGAACTCCAAATATTTACATGGTTTCGTAGACGCGGATTGGAGGGCATGTCCTGTGGATAGGAAATCATATACGGGACTGGAATTTATTGTAAGTGGCGCAGCCGTAAGTTGGAAATCCAAGAAACAACGTACATTTGCTCTATCATCAACCGAGGCAGAGTATATGGGTTTATCTGAAGCCGCGAAAGAAGCTTTATATCTTCGCAGATTCATAACAGAAGTAGGTTTTCGAGACCCTCACAAGACTGTGATCGCGTGTGATAATCGGGGAGCCCTGTGTCTAACGAAGAACCAGACATTTCATGCGAGATCAAAACATACAGATATCAGACACCATTTTGTGAGGGATGTCCTAAAGATAGGCCACATCGAGTTAGTTCACATGCCTGCGGAGGATATGCCTGCCGATATCCTAACCAAAAGTCTACCCAGGGAAAAACACTACCACTGTATGAAAGTGTTGGGAATCCTGTCGACAGCTAACTGCGCATAAATCGGCATTCCATTCGAGGAAGACTGTTGAGATATTCGAATCCTGCACCACTCGTCAATGTAGGGCGGCGATGCTCATCTAGCCGACTGGAGCGCTCTGAAGATGATCGTCATTGATGTACTTTTATTTTCGGAGAGTTCCGTGGTCATGGCGCGTTACCTTTGTTGACAGAAAAGAACTTTCATTATACATTAACGCGTTATGTATTTCATTAATAAAAACGCTATTTCCTGCCAGATCATAATCTAACACAAGGAAACAATTTGAGTTATTTTTGTAAATAATTGAGTTCAGATAAATGTATTTAGCTAAGGTTTTGTACCCCGAAGGTGTGTTTTGAGGGTATATTATTTGAAAATAAAAGGATAATACAAAATGTAGATAATTTGTTCATACATAATTCATTACATAATACGTTACCTGCTAGTGCTCCGCAGAAAGCTCCTTCCATGGGATTTAATTCTCTATTGATTCTATGGCTCCCAGTATTCTTCAAATATTCCCATATAGGAAATTGCAAAAGACTAAATGGCATATCTCTTAAGGCTGTACTCCAATAACCCCGATACAATAATCGTACTCCTAATCCATTTGTATCCACTATGAAAACTTGTTTTCTCTGTTTTATCACTTCTACTGGCACTCTTACCAGACACGCCACCTTAAAATTCCAAGATTATAAAAATATTTCACCATAACAAAACAAATGAAAAATATTGTTAAAAATCACATAATAAAGTCATAAATCCTACTAGTTCTCCAACGGATGCAGCACCCATATAGATCATGGAATGGTAGCGTTCATGAATCCTAGGACGAAGACAGTCCTTCATCCAGTCGTAAGTGACAAAAAATAATGCAGCTGAAACATTTAATGTAATTACAATAGTGTACATGCTTTAAGAAATCCGTTCTCAATATCCAGACGTAAATCGTGTAAGGAATTGCAGTTGCGATAATATTAATAATACATCCGGGTAATGTACACCCAAAAAAATTTTTAGTTCCAGTTACAGAAAATTATTAAACTATTATGTTTTTGTAGTGAAATATGACCAATTAATTTTTTGTAGTTTCTGTGCAAACAAATTCGAACGCCCGTTTCCTAGAATTGACAGTATAAGGAGAATACGCGTCCAATCACATAATCGATGTGTTATATCGTACCCCTAATAATCCTATTAAACTACCTGTAATTTAGGATATGTCTGTGGTACAGAACCCTACCTGAACATCTTATTCACGCCATTATTTTAAGCTAGTACTTTAGTGCGGAATAATACGTACAGAAAACAATTAAGTGCTCTGAATTCTGCTTGCCCTTACTTCATTAAACCTTTTCCTTACAATAAATATAGTCAATTCAGGAGCAAGTACTGTATCAACTAGTACAACTCAGGCCCACCAATCATATCCTTCCGCGAAACCCATTTTATTTGAGGTGGAGGAGTCCCGATCCCATAATCGGCCATCCGACAGAAATTAGCCTTCAAATGCAGTTCGTCTTTTAATTGCAGTGTTACCGGGCGCGTAAGTAATTATCTAGCCCATAATTTGCATATCAAACATCTTTTTTGCTTCTGACCTCATATGCTAATCAAATCCTGCTTCTCTCTTGAATGGACCTCCATTTATAGAATCCGCAGAAAAAAAATCTGAGGTCTTCGAGTGACTTAGTCGAGATTCGAACCCGGACCTCTCGCCATTAGGGCAACTGTCCTACTAAGCGACCCAGGCCCTCCAATAAAAACCTTCCATAAATCCCATGTTAGTTGACATGAAAAGGTCCCAATCCCACAGTATTTAGCAATAAAACGAAAACTGAACGAATAATTTTGTTTTGACAATTAATACGATGTCGTCTACTTTCGTATGCTCTACATTTGTTTTTACAAGATACTCTCCAAAATTCAAAATATGGGTAAATCATCAATTTTAAATGTGCTAACCACTTCAGCGATTTGCAGTGTCTCACGGGAATAACGATTGTAAATGTATTTTTAAATCGATAGAGTCGATCAAGGTTCTCGCTTTAAAGGTAAAGCACTGACGTGTGTATATGTAACGTGTTCAAGAGACTCGGCCGAGTCTCGTGTCAATACTAAGTAAATTACCAGGTGAAACCAAGCACGATGGTAAAGACGCGGCCGAGCGAAGACTTTATACATGCCGATTTTGCCGCTATTGGCACCCACACGGAACAAAAGCTCTATTATACGTATATAGAATGTTTTCATGGCTACGGGATGTTTCAGTATATCAAAAGTTAAAATATACGTATAATATATGTTCACGAAATGTCAAAAATATTCTATTGGATTTTAGATGTACATTATACGTATTAAATATGTTAGTAGAACATCAAAATTTGCATCAATTAAATATGCTTAGTAAACGTATAATATATCTGTATTTAATAGACTCCTGTATCTGCGATATTACACACTTAAACGACATCTAATGAACGTATGTTGTGTGTATATTAAGGGAAGAAAAATTGATCTGCTACAGACGTAAAATATACGTACATTCTACGTAAACAAATATAAATTATTTTACTCGTATGTTTGATATACGTACTGTAATAGTACGGATTAGGCCGTGCAATATGCACCGTCCTTTCCACACTGTCGTGAGTCCGAGCCGCGTCAGAATTTTCCGGGAAAGTTAAATCACCGATTTCCGAGGTGCGAAGATCCGAGTAAGAGAGAGGCAGGCGTGCGAATTAGAGAAGGATCACGATGACTCGTGCCGCGCAGACAATGTTACGGTTTCTTATACGTCTAGGCGTAGCTCGCTCAGCTGATCGAGGCCGAAATTCCGAATCGAACTCGTGTTTCGATATCTCGAACGCTTTAAGATTCTTAGACAACTTTGACTGATGATTATCTAATTGTTTTCACCTTATTGTAATAGATTTAATTTGGATAGGAATTGAACTCTCAGACTGACGATTTATCTCATGAGAGTACGCTAACTGTTCGTCATCGAATCCGGATAAAAAGCGTTTTCAAGGTGTGGGTACAATTGGGTTGGTTTCCTAAGTATTTCGGAATCGTGTTAATTTAGTAATGTTTACTTTCAGACTATTCCTGGATTTGCCTTGAATTAATTGATTGGGTCCCTGGAGTATTGCTCTACAGGTGTTAGTGTCAACTTTTACTTAGATTATCCAGCTTCGGATACCCATTGGTTTTAGGGTTTTGAGGTTTGAGAGGATATTTTGTTGTTGGTTCCTTTTTGCACTTCTTCGTGCTCCGATTTTTCTAATCAACTGTGAAAGTTCGGCAGATCGAAGGCAATCTCAATGATAGAGTCTGAGCTGTCTTTCACAATTGAGAAGTGTCAGTTCCTGCTTCAGAGCTGTCGCATTGACAAGGCTGAAGGTACGGATCTACACTTCCTTTGTATTCTTTTTGTTTGAACCTGCTTCGATTGACTTCTGTCAATCGAAGTTATGGCTCCTTGTTATTTTCTTTTTCTCTTCACGATCTAATGTTCGTGTTTTTGAGAGATGCTGCCATAGCACAGTCCCAGGATAGAGTTCAAAAGAAGTTAGACTTTGGGATGCGACGGCTACCTCAATGGCAGAGATCGCTGGGGTTGGGATTTAATTTTAGAATTCTTCTGTATAAATTTTATTTCATAAATCTTCCTTAATTCCGGTTGACTCCGGTTCTTCTCCTGGCTATTCTAACTTTCTAACCCAATGTCCAATTGGGACCTGAATTTATCCTAATGCTAGTGAGAATTGGGTGTATATCCCCATCGATATCTGATTCTATTCTATCTTTTAAAATTTTACTCGAGGTCTCCTGGAGTATCGCGGCCTCTCCCTACTCCTCGGTTCCTTCCTACTTCTCGGCCACTTCGCACCGCCTAATTCTGCGGGTATTGCGCACGCGTCGATTGCCGTCGATTTCGGTCTCGCACAGGCGCTCCTAATTCGCACCGTTACAGTACTTTATACGTTCCTAAAGTAACCACGTTTTCACAAATAAACGACGTATACCAAACGTATAATATACTTCTATTTAAGGCGCACTTGTATCTGACATATCACACATGCAAAAGATATGTAATATGTGTAAGTTGCACGTATATTAAGAAAATGAATATTAATTTGCCGTATACATATAACATACATACGTATAATAACAAACATACAGGGAAATTTATATCTACCCGTAAAGTACATAATACAACAAACGCTTGTAATATGTGGCTAGATGTATTCAAATAACATGGTACATTGTTTGGTGCGACCTGACTACTGCAGACTGAAAGTGAAGCGCATACCAAATCAAAATGATGTCACGAGACATATCGTTTTGGCCGCGACGGTTTTCTTATACAAGTACAAGTATTTACAAGGAATATATATATATATATTGTGACGTGGTATTTTTTGGCGGCGTCGCGACCCCCCAATTTTTGCCTCTCCTTTTGTCTTTTCAGGTTTCTTATGATCGCGGGTCCGGCGGTCACCGACCCGGGGTGAGGAGAAGCATGATATAGACTTAATTTTGCGAATTTAATTTACAGGACGAATTATCTGGACGTTTTTGGAAAGCATCCGCCAGTAATTTTTCTTTCGGCGGCGGGCTCTCGAACATTAGGCAGAATCTTTACAAAAAGGTTCTAGAGCTCGCCGAAATTCGATTATCTGTAGCGTAACTCTAGATCGAGATGTAAACAGCGGCGACCCCGCAGAGGTCGCGCGCGAACTGCTGCTCGTCACCTCGGCCCGAAGAAATAAGTCGTCGAGAAAGCCTCGGCGGCCAAGGACGTCAGGGCCGAGTTCCCCAGCTGCAGTGCCACGACCTGTCCGTTGGGTCCCCCCGGAGGGCCAGTCGGCCCTGCTATATACCCTGGTGGCCTTGCCTGCGAGGGCGGGCCGTAGACGGACCCTGCCAACTCAGGTACGGCCGCCCGCAGAGGCAACAAGACTACCCGGCCAGAAGTCGGACCAGGAGGCAAGAGCTCCCATGATCCTGGCTACGACCGACGGGGCGAGACATGAATGCCACGCTCCCGATGAAGAGAGCTCAAGACTCCCGGGCCCGGAGCCCGACCATGCTATCGCCAGAGTACCCGGGACTTGTTCGAGGATCCGTCTCCGGGTGAGCCAGGATCCCCTGGAGGGGAAAAACATCGGGTGCCCCGAGGACCAGGGTATGCCGGGGCCCGACGGGCCACCGCTCGCTACGGTCGTGGCACCACCGGCGGCTCACCGTGCGCCGGGCGCGCACCACCGTTGCCCAGCACCAAGACCGCGCCGCCGCAACCCCCGGCCCTAGGAATCGGGCCGGCGCACGCCGACTCCGCTCGCAACCAATCAGCAGCGAGGAATCGGGAATTCTCGACCTCTGAACGCCGGACCGGACGAATAGTCTACAGAGTATTGTCTACGATTTTCTGCTTTGTCTGGAAGACGAGGGAGCCCAGGACTTCGGCGAGGAGCTACGGCTGAGGAGCGGCGAGTGGCAGCCGCTACGAGCGCTTAGTTAAAGTAAAGTAGTATTGGAACCACTATGGGTAGACTAAACAAATGACGTCACCGGCGCCGAGTCAGCCTGTGACGTCACGTTACGTCACGTACCCCCACTCCTCTCATATACCATGGTGCCAAGAGTGGTGGGGGTACTCTAGAATGTGAGCCGCGAGTAAGAGAGAGAAAGACTATCTCCCGAGAGAGAGACGGGTGTATAGGGTGCTACGTCACGTGCTCCCGCTCTTCTCATCTACCATAGTGCCGAGAGTGGTGGGGATACGCTAGAGCGCGAGACGCGAATGTGAGAGAGAGAGTCGAATATAATCGAGAATTTTATTTATTTATTTTTTTTGCCGGTTTAAAAAAAATCTATGCGTTAAGGGGTTAATGCGCAACTAAGGA